CTGTAGCTGGTCTCCAGATAAGACCACATCCTTGCTTAGCTCCCCCTCCTGCCCTTTTCGTCTTCCCCACGTCCTTGCTTCTGAAAGCTCAATTTATCACATGCATGAGAACCCCAGTATCATATTTTGATTCTAGGGAACCCATCCTAAGGTATCAACCTTATGCCTCACTCCCTAACACAATACTGTCATTAATAATAACTAACTTTTTGAGCTCCTATGATGTGCCAGAAAACAAGGGAAGCACTTTCTATACATTGTCTTATATGATCACAAAGGTTCCATACCATGACCCCCATTTAACAGATGGGAAAACTGAAGCTCTGAGACGTTATTATGTATGGCATCCTAAACATATTTCTTCTGGCCTCATGGAAGGAACACAGATCTTCCAGGGGACTGCATCCTTCATCCTACAAAGTAATATTTTCCTCCATTTTAAATGTTCCTCTGAACTACACCTCCCCCCTCCTCCTCCCTTCTCACTTCTCAGATCCATCCCCCTCTGAAAACCGGTGGTCAATTACATTGCTCAAGATCTCCTAGGGCAGAAAATTCAATTTATTTCCATCTGTGTTAGCTTTCTCTCAGAATGCCTTTTTTAAATTGGCAATAAGCACTTGAGCCCTCCCAAGGATTGTTCACTCAACAACATGTTCCTAGCGTTTCTAATAGGTGTGTGTGCTAAGAAGAGAAAGGATGTCCCACCACCTTTTCTTCCAAGTACTCAAAATAACTGATGAGATCTAGGTCTGCTGTAGAATCACAGAGGCTTCTCTATCCCAAAGAACCAAGGCTCAGTACCAGCAGAGTCAAATGGTAAATATTCTGAAACTCCAAACCCTTCCCTGAATGAAGAGGCATTAGAGTGAGGGTGACTTATACTGGCCACTGCTAAAAAACAAACAAACAAAACCAAACAAAGGAGGTGTGGTGAGCATAGCTAGAAGCAGAGGAAAGAAAATAAGGAACAAACCTACTTGCTTTGCATAGGTTATTCCTTCTGTCTGGAATGCCTTCTCTCTTTCTCCAACTATTGAACTCTTATTCGTGCTTCAAAACCCAATTTAAATGTCATCAACTCTTAAGATTTGCATACATTTCCCCAGCCCTCCATACAGTCACTGCTTTCTGTGGACATACAGAGTAGAATCCATTCTCAGAATACAGAATGGCAGGGGTGCCTGGGTGGCCCAGTCAGTTGAGTGTCTGACTCTTGGTTTCAGCTCAGGTCCTGATCTCAGGGTCATGAGATTGAGCCCTGCATTGGGCTCTGCACTCTGCACAGATTCTGCTTGGGATTCTCTTTCCCTCCCACTCATTCTCTCTCTCCCTCTCAAATAAATAAATAAATCTTTAAACAAAGAAAAGAAAAGAATACGGAATGGCAGGTAGTTCTTAATTGTGTAAGATAACCCAGGATCAAATTCTCACTGTATCACTCACTGGCTGTGCCACCTCCTGCAAGTCATTCAACTTCTTCAAGGCTTCGTTTCCTCATCTGTAACATGCTAACGCACACAAACACTTAACACTGTGCCTGGAATGCGATGAATGCTCAATAAAATGGTAGCAAAGTTCTTCATTACCATCATTATTACCACTCCGTCCTCTGAATTCCCATAAGCATGATTTTCCTATTGTCCATTCCATTAATTTGCTACTTACCCTGATGGCCTTGTTTTGTTAATTAACATCTCCTGTGTGCATATCTTCTTTCTTTAACTACATGGCAAGGTCCCCAGGGACAGGAAATGTATCTTACACTGTTATATACAGCTTATACGCTGCAAGAACACTGCCAAACACACATAATACATGCTCAAATATTTGCTGAATAAATTCTTAAATCTCTGGCTCTCAGTATAGGTGCTTATTTTGCTTGGCAACAGAACAAATAACATTTTATATTTACATTCTTGTTTCCAAGGTTAATTGATGTGCATCTTATAATCATAAAAAGCCCCTCTAAGCTCTCCCCTAATAATGGCAAAAGCCATCGATTAAACAAACCCATTAGATGTATCAACAACCTATTAATCTGCTCTTAGTGGAGGGACACTGATTGATTTTCAGCTGTCTGGCTACACAGTGGAATTGGGTTTAACCAGAATATTCTGTTTGGTTTCTCCATCAGGCTACTTACTCTACGATATGAGGGTTAAATGATAATGTAGCTAATATAAATATGGAGATAGAGAAAGAGATGCAGACAGCATTTAACCCGGTTCCTGGTCCACTATAAATCTTTAACACACGGGGGCTCTTTAGAACTCCGGGGGGAAGTGGAGTACAAGAGTAAGAAGGAGATCCAAGCTCTGGATCTGCCATTTCGGCTCTTTGATCTTTAGTTTTCTCATTAGCAAACGAAGGTAGAAATATCTGCATTGCAGGGTTATTTTGAGAATTAAATGAGATTATATGTATGCTAGGACAGCTGTCCATAGAGGCACGGGTGATACAGTGCAGAACACAGAACAGAGGGCCTGCCCATATGAGGTTCATGGTCCAGAGGAAGATACAGACAAATAGTCAGTTAGTACGAGAGGGTGGCAGGTGGTAGTTCAGAGGACCCAGGGGACCCACGGATGGGGGGAGACCCGCCAGGACCTGCATGGTGGAGTCGCTGAAAGCTTCCCCCCTAAGAGGTGTGTGTGGCCATTCTCATCACCCACCCTTCCACCGTCCATGTGGGCTGCAACTACATCCCAACTTTGCCACCTGCATCCTCGGTAGGTTCTGCAAGATGGACAATGCCAAAGGAGACAGCAAGGCTGGAAGAGGCCACACTAGTTTTCAAGGGCTGCTGTAACAAAGTACCATGAAAGTACCATGGGTGGCTTAAACAACACAACTTATTGTCTCCCACTTCCGGTGCCTAGAAGTCCAAGATCAAAGTGTCAGCAGGGTTGGTTCCTTCTGAGGGTGGCGAAGGAAAATGTGTTCCATGCCTCTCTCCTAGCTTCTGGTGGCTTGCTGGCCATCATTGCCATTCCTTGACTTGCAGTAGGAATCTCTGCCTCCATGTTCTCATGGGCTGTGTGACTGTATCTGTGTTGAAATTTCCTCTCTTTATAAGGATATCAGTCCTATTGGATAAAGGGCCCATCCTACTTCAGTATGACCTCATCTTAACTAATTAGGTCTGCAGTTACCCTATTTCCAAATAAGGTCCCACGTTCTGAGGTCCTAAAGGCTAGGATTTCATCATATGAATGGAAGTGGGGATTCCACCCATAACAGAGGCAAGAGGGATTGTTCCTTCCATCCTTCTAGTCTATATCCCACTCATGTTGGTGCCTGTGGTTCCCCCCAAACCTGAGCAGTACCAGTTGCTAGCTCCTGTTTCCATGTGTTTTTTTTCCCTTGTACTCCTAGAAACAGCTTCACCGTGTCCCATCGGAATCACCAGAATCAGCTGGAAAGGGCCTCCCTCTCAGAAGCAATATCAGCCCCATAGGGACCTTCCTTCAAACATCTAGATTCTAAAGCCCCACCTCTTCCTTTTGTCCCTCCAGCCCTGTGGGTATTAGCTTCTTTCTGCCTGTGAGGGGCAGTCTCTGGCATTGCTCTTGATGTTCGTACCCTTGTGTGATCCCTTCCCCTGGAGTGCAGGATGGACTTACTGACTCGCTTCTACTAGAAAACAGCAGAGGTGATGGAATCTCACTTGAGAGATTAAATAATAAGACCACAGCCTCCAACATGGGTGCTCTGTCTTGCTCACCTGCTCTGATGAAGCCAGGTGCCATGCTGTGAACTGCCCTACAGAGAGGCCCATGTGGCAAGCAACTGAGGGAGGTCTCCAGCCAATAGAGATAAACTGAGGGCATCAGCCCAGCAGTCCATGAGGAACCGAATCCTGCCAACAACCACTGGAGTGAATGCGGAAGCACATCTTTCTACAGTCACGCTTTTGGATGAGACCCCAGCCTTAGCTGCCACTTTTATTGGTGTCTTGTGAGAAACTTGAGGCAGAAGATCCAGCTAAGCCATGCCCAGATTCCTGACCCACGGAAAATATGAGATCACGAATGGTTGTTTTCAGCTACTAAGTTGTGGGCTACTTTGTTATGCAGCTGTGGATAACTAATGTACTTTGGTTACTGTCTTATAAACTCAGTGTACTCTTTTTACCTTTTCCCTGTTTCAATAAGTACTTAACCAACTCCCTAATAAATTCTCTCAGTTAAATTAATGAATATAATTTCTTTTTCCTGATTAGACCCCAACTGGCACAAGGTGACATCTAAGATGTGACCTTAAAGACAAGTAGGAGTTAACTGGGCAAAGAAGATGAGGAGAGTGTTTCGGGAAGTGGAAACACACATGCAAAGGCCCGGGCACCATTAGTTCTTTAAATATATTTATTAAGCACCTACTGTGTGCTAGGCTTGCTGCCAGGTCCTAAGAATGAAATTATGAAGGAGAGAGCACGGTCCTACCCTCATGTTCAGAATAAGGCGGCAATGAGACAAACACTAGGACTAGTATATAAGGGCGAGCCCACACCCTAGGCTTCCTCACCAGAGACACATGCATCCCATTAGGATAGGAGCACTTGCCTTGGTGATCTTAATCTAGGCACGCGATGAGTAACCACCTCCCAGCTTCAACGTCGCATCTGTAAAGCAAGGATGATAATATTTCCCTCCCAGGACTGTAGCATTAATCAAATGAGGTTTGGTGGCTTAAAGCAGCTTTGTATGGGAGACAGAGCTCTACTACTGTTAAGACATAGTAGTCTTACTTTAACAACTGGTGTTCTCAATTCAGAATGATCCAAATCCTTCATCTGCCCAGTGGCCAGCAGCCCTCTGCTGGCCCAGAGCTGGCTGTAGCCAAGACCTGGTTAATAGGATTAAACAAAGAGCCTGTTTCTTCTGGCCCCAGACAGCAGGTTGCTGGTCATTGATAAAAAACACGCTGTAACACAAAGAGCAACCTCCCTGTGGCCACCCGCCCCATAAATCATCAGCTACCAAGGGCTATTGAATTACCTTTAGAAGATGGATGACACCAGAGCTGGAAGGCTGCTTGATAAGGTTTCCCTTTGAATAATTCCATGTAGAAAGCTGGGTTTGAGAAATGGGGTCTTTCTAGCAGCTCAGCTCCATCCATGCCGCCTCTGCCAGGTGCTTTCAAGATAAACATGTTTCCTTATGGGCTGCCAGAGCGTCTGTGATGAAGGAAGAAAACTTACTGCCAGGTCTCAGGGAAGTATCTACTTCTGCCCAAGGCACAAAAGGTGGTTTTGTTTTATTATTATTATTCACTGTTCATAGTACAACTCATTAATAATAGCTATCATTTGTTAAGCATAGTCCATGTGCCAGGCAATGTGCAAAGCATTTGAGCTCACTAAATCCCTAAACAGCCATATGAGACTGGTCTTATTACTCTCTCCATTTGATTGATGAAAAATGAAAACTCAGAGAAGTGACATGACTTTCTCAAGGTCACACAGCTAGTAAGTGTTAGAGCTGAGACTCAAACCCATGCTCTTAACAGGAGTCAGCAAACCTCCTGTAAAGAATTAAATAGTAAATATTCTAGGTTTTATAGGCCATACCATCTCTGTTGCAATTACTCACCTCTGTCCTGGCAGTGCAAAAGCAGCCATAGACAGTACATAAACAAATGTGCATGGCTGTGTTCCAATAAAACTTTATTTACACAAATAGGCCGAGGCCCACATTTGGTTGATGGACCATGCTATGACAACCTCCACTCTTAACACTCCTATGGCACTAACTCTCTACATCTGGACTTTGCAGTTTCCTCCACTTATCTGCTTCCACACAGAAAATGTGCTGGCTCTTCACAGAGTTATTTAATTTATTCAACTCATTTATAATTCCTTTATTGAGCTCTTGAAAGCTCTAGCTCGAAGTAAAATACAGAGATCCTGCTGGTTTAAAAAGTGAGATGTGTAAAATATTTCAGTTATTACTTGTATTGGTGAAGAAAGGACCTGTGATGCTGCACTAACATAAATCCAAGATCTCAGTGACTTAGAAAAGGGTTTCTCAATCTTGGCCCTATTGATACTTTGAGCTAGATAATTCTTAGTTATCCCATTGCATTGTAGGATGTTTAGCAGCATCTGTGGTCTCTACCCACTAGATGCCAGTAGCATTTCCCTACTGGTGACAAAAATGTCTCCAGACATTGCCAAATGTACCCTGGGGAACAAAATCACTCCTGGTTGAGAATCGCTGGATTAAGACAACAAAGTTTATTTCTCATTCATGAGAATTTGGATAGGAGTCATGAGCTCTCCCTGATAAGTCCCTCTGGTACCACAGGGACCCAAGATGTTTGCCTCTGCAACTCTGCCATCTCAAAGTTCTTTACTTCCTGCCCTGCAAATGGAAGAGATGGAGAATGGAGGTCTCTCCCATTCCTAACTTTCTCAGACCAGAAGCGACATGTTGCTTATGCTCATAGGCCATTGGCCACAGCCTAACTACAAGGAAGGAAGACTGGGAAATGTAGGAGAGTATGTAGAGTATTTGCAACCCATACTGGTCAATCACTCACTCAACAAACATTGTGTGAGTAGCTATTCTAGTCAACAGTATATTGATGCTGGGGAAATATATCTCAGTGAATAAAACAGATTTTGTCCCTGCCTAAACAATGCTTATATTCTTCCTTCAGTGTGCTCCTTTGGGTTGAAAAAAAAAAAAAAGAGCATGAGTTAGGTTTGGTAACAGAAATTATTGAAAGGATATATAAAGATGTGTGAAGTAAGATAAAATTATCTTGGCAATTATGCTGGGTCCAGAACTCCTGAAGCCTCATTAGGAACCTAATAAATGCATCAAAAGTCTGAATCTGAGTGATCTTTCTTTCCTTTGTTCACCTACCCCTCATATGTTGGAAAACAGAGACTACAAATGGATTAATTACCATCCAATAATGAGCCCTTGTTGGCCAAACTACTTCAGAGTTTTAACAGTCAGCTTTTGCCAAGCTATGCTGTCATCACAAACAAGTCCAAAATGGCAGTGGCTTACAACAACAGACATTCATTTGTTGCTGATATACATATCATCTGCAAATTGATTTTCGTTCTGCCAATATCTTCCTTATTCCAGAACCAAATGAAGGGCAGCCCCATTCTCAGTCATGAGTTAGAAGGAAAAGAGCAAGTGGAATCAATGTTGGATCTTAAAATTTCTTCTCAGGCACAACATTCACATCTGCTGAAATTCCATTGGCCAAAGAAAGTCCCATGGCCAAGTATGATATCATTTGGGGGGGGGGGCACTCATCCCACTGGAAGGGATATAAGAAAGGGATGTAGGGATGGGTCTATCAACTAGAGAAGGACTCTAGCATCTAGTGGGTAGAGGCCAGAGATACTGCTAAACATCCTACAATCCACAGGATAATAAAGAATGATATAGCCCCAAATGCTAAGCAAATATTTTGAATACTTAATATAATCTAACACCATGGCTCTCAATTTTGCTCCCCAGGGAACACTGGGCAATGCCTAGAGGCATTTTTGGCTATCACAATAGAGGAGATGCTACTGCCATTTAGTCCATGGAGGCCAAAAATGCTGCTTAACATCCTACAGTACATAGAAAAGTCCCCGACAACAAAGAATTATCCCACCCCAAATGTCAATAGTACTGAGATTGAGAAACCCTAATCTACCACAAGAGGCAACTAGGCTCATTTATTCATTCATTCATTCATCTTCATCAGAGATTTACTGAATGTCTATTGAGTGTCAGACACTGTGCTAGTCCCTGGGGATATAAAATAGAAGTAAACATAAGTACAATTCCTGCTCAAATGGATTTTATAGTTTACTTGGAGAGGCAGACATTAATCAAATAATCACACTAATGAGTATTTCATGACAAACTAAGATAAATGAAGGAATGGAACAGATTCTCCGAGAGTTTATTCTCTGAGAGAGATTAGGGGAGTCTTTTACATGAAGTGACAAGAATTCTGAAGGATGTGTAGGAAGTAACTAGATAAAGAGGACAAGGGAGTTCTAAGCGTAAACATAGAAAGGAGCATTTTTGGAGGTGGGGGGAGGAACTAAAAGGTCAGTGGAATGAACACACAGAAAGTAAGGGGTGAGTGGTGTATGATGTAGCTTAAGAGGACATCAGGGACCAGATCATCCAGGGCTTTGTATGTAGACCAGTTTAGAGAGTTTTTTTCTCTTATGAGTAGTGAGAAGCCACTAACAGGTTTTAAGCAGGGAATGAATTATCTACTTTGCTTTTTGAACAGATAATTCAAGTTGCAATGTGGAGAATGGCATAGAGGGGGTGTAGAGGTGACCCAGGGAGACCTGTAAGCTGACTGTTACCATCATCCAGGTAAGAAATGGTGGGGGCTCAGTTGGGTGGTGGTGGTGAAGACAGAGAAAACTGAATATATCTGAGAGCTAATTAGGATGTGGAATGTGAGGAGGGGAAAGGTATTCGGACTGTCTTCTAAATTTCTAGCCTATATAACCAGATGGATGGTCATGGTGTTCACTGAAATAGGAAACACTGGAGAAGGACCAGGTTTGGGGGCAGGGGAGCAGGAAGACAATACACTATAATAGAATATTAGTTTAAGTTGTCTTTGAAGCAGCCAGGTAAAAATATCAAGAAGGCAGCTGGATATACATGTCTGTGACTCAGAGGAGAGGCAAGGCTGAAGTTATTAATATAAGAATCATCAGAATACAGATACTCAACCCTGACATTGCAGCCTTTGACTTAGACCTCAATCTCTGGCTTCATCATTTGTGGCTGGTTATCCTTGACTAAATGGCAGTAACCATAACAACTCTATAAAAATAGAACCACTTGTCTGCCTCCCTCAGAATTCAATCACTCATTCAATAGTTTTAGATCTCATCATTTGTGACTGGTTATCCTTGATTCAATGGTGGTAGCCATAACAACTTTATGAAAATAAAACCACTTATCTGCTTCCCTCAGAATTCATTCATTCATTCATTCATTCATTCATTCAACAAACAGTCATGCATGTTATTGTGTACCAGCCTTTGTCCTTGGGGGCTGATGGTACAGCAGTAAATGAGAACAAACAAGGTTATGATCCTTGCAGGCATTTAATATTTTATGACTTCTTCCTTTGTGTGGATTGCTCAAAACAACTGACCCTTGTTTTTTCATGCCCAGTTTGGAGTACATCATCCCACACTGAAGGAAATGCCTGTAAAATGACCTCAAAATTTTAAGAGGGTTATAGAACTATAGTATCTCAGCCTTATTTTGGTAGTATGCATTCAGTTCACTGATGTAAAATAGATTTCTTCTCACATGCCAACTTTAATTGATAGGTAATGGCTGCGTGAAGGGGTAGGCTCAGAACGATTCAGCTGAAAAAGAGATCAGTTAGTGATGTCTGCAAAGGATTTGATATGGGAGAGTGGAATGCAACGTATTTACTGCTGAATTCTATTTGATAATATTTTGCTAAGGAATTTTGTGTCTATGTTAATGAAAGATACTGGTATATTATTTTCTTTTTTTATAATGTCCTCATCATATTTTCTTATCAGAGTTATGTTGGCCTAATGATACAAGTTGGAAACAATTCTCTTCCTTAATTTCTGAAAGGGTTTGTGTAATCTTAGCCTATTTCATCCTTAAATATTTGATAAAATGGGCCTGTAGTTGTAGAGGAGGGAAGGCAAGGAGTTTTTTTTTTTTTTTTTAAGATTTATTTATTTATTTATTAGAGAGAGAGAGCATGAGAGGGGGGAAGGGCAGAGGGAGAAGCAGACTCCCCACAGAGCAAGGAGCCCGATGCGGGACTCAATCCCGGGACTCCAGGATCATGACCTGAGCCAAAGGCAGTCACTTAACCAACTGAGCCACCCAGGCGCCCACAAGGAGAAGTTTTAAACTGTGAATTCAATTTCTTAAATAGATACAGGGCTATTTAGATTTTCTATTTCTTCTTCTGTTAATTTTGGTAAGTTATATTCTTCAAAGAACTTACACATTTCATCTGAATTGTCAAACTTAACACATTCATTTAAAAGGTGAAGAAACTGAAAGCTTAGATAGGACAATTGGCATGCCCCAGGTCTTACAGTAAA